GACTGAAATTCGGTCTGGAGGACATTATTATTTGTAACGGGCTGATGACGAATAAGTCAAAATGAATTGTAACTCACCTTACAAGGTGAAGCACGATGAACGCTAAGTCTTAATATGTAACATGTATGAAAATATTATGTTAAGATAATTATGTATAAAGTATTGCATATAATTAAGTATTAAACAAACAGAAGTGAGTATATTTAGGTCTTAAAATGTCGACATAATATGATTATATCTAAAATGCATAAAAATAATTTACATATTCTGATAACAAACGATCTTAACTAGAACGAGCGAATTTAACTAGCTATTCCCCGCGAATTCGCCCGCGTGTAATTTTGGGTTTTTTAAATTTAAAAAAATTGCGCAAAACCCTTATTATTTTTCTATAATAAAAGTAACCTAAGTTATTTCATATTACATCAGCTATTTGCCAGTGAAAGTCCCCTCAAAATCTCAGTCAGAAAGACAGACATAGAGAATAAAATTTATTTGTTTTTGTTTTAAGTACTGTATATACTTTCATACGCATTTAATAAAAAGCTGTTATTTTGACATTACAAACAGACACTTAAGTTTATTTATTTGTATAGATGAACAATAAAATGACCGCAATAACGTAATCAACAATTTGTTACCGAATTTCTCTAGCCAACGCTTGACTTTTTTAAAAACATTACCCCCACACTAGTATTTTCTCCTGTATCGTGGAGGCAGCTTACAAACATAAATTGCACACGGACATACATCCAGACCCGGAACAATTATTTGCAGGCCATACAAATACTTGTTCCGTGCGTGATTCGAACCCGTGCCGTGGCCCCCCAGCGCAGCAACTCATTGCTAAGCCACTGCGTCACGGAGCCTTGATTCCCATACAACAGGTAAAATATTGGTACTATGGTATAAGTCACGATATATCCATTAATATTTAAAATATTTGAAATGAAAACTACAATCCAGTGCCTATTTAAGCTTACCGGATTACCGGCCCATCGGACTATGAGAGTGAGGGAATAGAAAGTGTACCTGTGCTTGCGCACACACTCGTGATACACAATCCTGTCCTGCGTCATTTAAATATAATATCCTCCCTTGGTACTACTTACGTACCTATTATGTAACACAATAGTATCTAATAAGATACTCTTTACCGAATGATTCGTATATAATATCACAATATGCTACATAAATAGCTAGGCTCCGTTGACTGGCCGCCATGACCGAAATTCGGCCTAAAGGGTTCGTTGGGAATATTGGAAACAGTAAGAAACAAAAAAATAAAAAAGTATTCAGTGCTCAAAATACTCAGGACTTAAATAATCGTAAATATAATACTTAAAATATAAAAATAACGGATACAAAATGTGGTCAAATTATGTTTAATACCTTTTAATATAACCTGAGTTCAAAACAATACCTTTTTTTTAACTCAGTGGTAACGCAATCTAGTTGCAAATTGTGATAACACAATGTTGTTGACCTATACAAAAAATACTGTCTGTCTGACAAAGCTAATCTTCAGAATGTCAGAAAAACTTAAATATTTCTTAGGATACGATTTTGAGATTTTCAGTTTTGAAAATTTCAAATTTCAAACTACTTCTACATTTTGAGATTTGAAATTTTACGCTCCCCCTGATGGCAAGTGGATGTCGTGGCTCAAAGATCTACATTCATCCTCGATTAAGAATCAAAACGAAGATGCGTTATCACGCGTTGGGACTAAGACGGAATGCCCCGTTTCCAGTAAAATGTCTCCCTTTCTTTACAATCACTATACGAAATACACCTGCATTAAGCTGTTATTTTACGCTGGTATTCTGTGAGAACGTGTTCTTGCCCGGTCGAGCCGACCCATTCGTGCTACAACCATAATATAGCTGCAGCGTGGCTCCAACACGTTCAAAAAGGTTTCCTTTTTTTTTTAAATATAAATACTAGGCACATCACACATTGTGCCCGCCGTGGACTGTTTACTCGTTTGCCCACTTTTTCTAGAAAAACTTTTTACAACACAAATTATACATCTGAATTTTTTCATTCGACACGAAAACAGCTATATGTATAAGCTAATTTCAAGGTTCACATAGATATAATACAATAGAAAAAAATTATTATTCAATAATGATTATAAATAATTGTTATTGAAAGTATTTTTTTTTAACATTTACCACTGGTTCGAATGAAATCTCTGACTGGGGAAGAACCAAACAAGAAACCCAGCGTTTTACCATAGTAACATTAAACAATAAAGAACAGGTTGTACAATTAATTAATAAATTCATTTAAAAACAGCTTGGCGGTCGGCTCATAACTTGGGATTACCATCAATCATATATTTATTAATTTATTCATATTGCTCATATCATAACTCTTTTTACACGGTCTCTTACTTACATGACTTTTTTTGTCTTTTTACTTTTTTTATAAAAAAAACTACCTTCATAATATATTTTTTCATGTATCGTGAGATCAGTCTACATACATAAATTTCACAAGGACAAACATCCGGACCCGGAACAATTATTTGCAGGCCATACAAATACTTGTTCCGTGCGGGATTCAAACCTTCGAAGCCTTCGGCGCTGCAAATCCACTGTGCCACTGCAAGCCACGGAGCTGTCACGTGTAAGTTTTGAGTAAACAAGATGATTTATTTAGGGTTTGTTTTTATAATAAGAATCCGGATGAGTGTAAGGTGAAAGCTATAAATAATTAGCATACGCCGAATCATAAGATATCCTTAAAGAGATTTTATTTTGTATTCAACTAATTACTTATCCAAATTTATTCAAAACTAATCGTTATACCGTTAAGTTTACTCAGTTGCTTAAAAATATTATACAGCGATCTCAAAATTAAAAAAAAAACTAGTTGTTACCGCTTTGGTGTTCACTATGTATGACGTCATTTTTTTAACGGAATAAGGACAAACAAGCATACAGTCCTGATGGTAAGTGGATGCTGTGGCCTATAGACATCAACCTTTATTCTCGATTATGGAGCATTAAACGGCTATTTTACGCTGGTATTCTGCTAGACCCATTCAAGCTACAACCATAATATAGCTGCAGCATGGCTCTACCACGTATAAAAACACATCCTGCGCACATTTTCCAAAATGTATCCAGTAAAAAACCGAAAGGTTGGCTTGTGCAATGTAAAGTGGGTATAAATATATGTATGAGTTTCTATCTGTATCAGATACAATTTGATGTAATTGTTTATTTATGTTTAATTTAATTATTTACATTTATGTATTAACTATGTATGTGTATATGCGTGCGCATGTACATTCATATATATATATATATATATATATATATATATATATATATATATATATCAGTTTGTTTTTCTCTGTATCTACTAGTGAACGGGTCGTTTTAATAAAACATTAAAAATTTAATTTTAATGTTTAGTACACTGACCCAATAGTAATATGTGGATAACGGTGTTGATTGTATGATTATTAAGCTTAAATATAGTATTGTGTTTAATAATGTGATTATATTGTACGATTGTTTGTTATCCCAAATAAAGAGAAAAAAAAATAAAGGAGGAGATAACCTATGATACTATTCCAAGTCTACCGTCGAACAAAATAAGCGCTAATATTTTTAAGTATAAAATACGGTATTTTGAATCTTAATCGACCAATATTCAGGTTTTGTTGAGGTCAGACACTATATAAAAATGTTGTCTCTAATTCGGTCATTAAAGCGATTTGAGATACGGTATAATAGTAACGTTATTTAGAAACACAGTTTTCTAGTCGCAACTTTTAAAAAAATCTGAAAAACGGTTGACCCTGCAGGCCGTAGCTGGAACTCCCTCATATTTTCGAGCGCAAAAATTCTCGAAAATTCATAAGCCGGAACGCATATTTGGAAATTTTTAAATGTCGATAATTTTTGAACGCATCCTTCAATTTTGACTTGCTTGGCGTCATTCGACGCAGTTTTTTTAAGTACAAAAAAGTGTTTCTGGTCTCTGTAGTTGATTAATCAATTATTTTGAAAGTTGTACACACACACACACACACACACACACATACATCTCAAAATGTGGAGATCTGATGAAAACTCGTAATATCAAAATCGGACCGAAATGTATCTATAATCTACGAGTATATATAACTTCCTACTTTTGAAAATTATTATTTTCAAATCGGGAAATTAAAAATCCCCTAATGGGTATTCAATCGTGTGACCTCATCGCCTAATTTCTTCCGACCATGTGGCAAGAGTGAGAGGGCAGCACAAACGATGAAAAGTTTTTAATTCTATAGACAGTAACAATGACTTCTGCTTAAATCTACGTTCCTACCAAAACATACCACCTCGTAATAATATGACTTAATTAGAACCAAAAACAGTTAGGAATATTAAATATAATATTTGAAAAAATCAGGCGTTACTTTCCGGCAATCCGTTGCATTTAAGATGGTAAAATTATTTAGAGATCCGCGTGACAAATAAAAAAATTGCATATCTTTAAGAGTAAATATGATTATTTGGAAAAAGGACAGTTCTTAAACGGTATTATGATAAAATCACTGTAAAAAATACCTGTTTTGATTTCACTGGTTGAATGACCTTTATGAATTTTAGTGGATACGTCCTCAGGGGTGACAACGCATATGCATTTTGGTTTCTAATGGAGGATAAATGTAAATCTCTATGGGCCTCAGTATCCACTTACCATCAGGTGGACTGTGCTTATTTGTCACACAAATTCTATAATAAAATTCGAATTAACGTTTTAACAAATTAAAGACTGATTTTGAAATCAAAGTTAACATTTTATTTTTAGAATGTTTGTTTCTCAATCTTGGCATGCCGTGATAACACGTATAAGGATTATGTCTGGTATTACACTAATATTATTGTAAGTTATAGCTTTAAGTCATGATGTAATCTGTTGTGTTGTCCAATAATAAATAAATAAAAATAAATAAATAAAATAGAATTTAAGCTGTAGATTCTACTCACCGACCAAAGGAGTTCCTGCCATCAGACCCTGCTGGGAGCTGATGGTTTCCAGTTCACACGCGCTAGCTGGCACGAGGTATGCCACTGATACGATCTCAAATGCCATTCCCATGATAATACTCGACACAAGCAACATCATCAAGTAGTTGAATTTGCCGAAACCTGAAGTAAAAATTTCATATTATACAAATTTGTATCATGAATGAGATAGCATCAGATAATGAATCAGCGTGGTAGAGCCATGCTGCAGCTATATTAGAAGTATAGTTGTAGCACGAATGGGTCGGCTCGACCGGGGAAGGACCACGCTCTCACAGAATACCAGCGTAAAATAGCAGCTTAACGCTGCTGTGTTTCGTATGGTGAGTGTAGAGAACCGGAGACCCTTTTTTGAGGCATTCCATCTTAGTCCTCACGGGGGACAACGCATCTGCATTTTGATTTGCAATAGAGGATAGATGTAGATGTCTATGGGCCACAGCAACCAATTACCATCAGGTGGACTGTGTGCTCGTTTGTCACCCTTATCCTGTTAAAAAAATGAATATCAAGCAATTTAAGTTTTTCTCTATGTCAGACGTAGAGTAAAACTTAAATTGTAATAAAAGTTTATCCCGTAAAAGTACTTTTAACAGAAATGGATGCAATCATCCATATCAAACAAGACCTCTGTCAGTTAACATTTTGAAACAGGCAAATTGTAGTAAGTGTGGTAAGTAACATGGATTTTTTTTTTCACAATATTACAGACAAAGATTTCATTTGTGGTCACCACTTATTCATTGTTTTAGAATAAATTAAAACTAGATTATTAAAAATAAATTCATCCAGTGTATGAGTTATTCTGTCTTGGATAGAATGACCCCTCCAATTATAGTGACAGTATTTTTTTTTTGGAAAGAATAAAACCGAGAAACTATTTTTACTATAATTATAGTTTCAGAAAAAAATCTTATTATGCGAATACTACATTGAACAAACTAATATTCCAGATTTCGACGTGTATTAGATTTTTATTTATTTAAATATTTATTATGTTACATATAGTTTTTCAATTTTCTTTTATTTAGTTCTTACCATTCGTCAAGTGTACTATCCATGGTGTATCCAGTACGGAATACGTCACGTATAAGCTTTTTCTCTCTTTATTCGGGATAACAAACAAATGTACAATATAATCTTCAATTCTCAAAATTAAAATTATTCACAACAGGTCCCCATACGATGGTAATTAAAATATATAATAATGTTCCAAATAACTTCAAAAATATTGACAACACCAAGTCTTTTATAAAAAAATAAAAGTCATTCTTAATCGATAAAAGTTATTATAATTTAAGTGAATTCTTTATAGATGCAAATAAATAGTAAATGTATGTGTACTAATTTAAAAAAAATTGATGTTAGACTAGCAAATGTTAAGAAATAAGATAGTTGGTATTTAGTATGTAGTAGTTAATATTTAGTATAATAAAATAAATAACTACCCTCTTATAAATTGCTATGCCCCTACGGGGCGTCACTTGATGTATGATGTATTTCTTGTGGCATGCATATTATATAATAAATAAAATAAAAAATAAATAACTAAACGTAATACTATAAATATACCTAATAATCATAGAATCAACACAGATTCACATATTACTGTAGGCTCAGTGTGTATTAAAGTTTTAATTTAAATTTAATGTTCTATTAAAACGACCCAATCATGAATAAGTACACAGAAACATACTTAAACAATATTAATGTGGAGTATCTCTGAAATAATACATAGCCGTGAAAAATACCTACGATACAAAGTTTTTGAATTCAAAGCTTTATAAAAATAAATATTGATAATGCTTACAACAATTGAAAAACGTCACTATACTGTATATATATATATACCCACAAATACTTACAAATACACATATACATGCGTACATACAACAAAATATTTCAATTAGATATAAATAATTAAATTAAATATAAATAAACTATCACATTAAGTTAGAGGCAGATATTGCAAAGCAAAGTTGCAGAAACAGAAACAGATGCACCCAGAGTCACCGGTCACAGGTCACGGGACCATGGTTGCTGTAAACCACCCGAAACGTCGGGAATGAAAAAGTTAAAATTAAACGCGATAAAATCCGTAAAAATTAGTTTCATTTAATGTGTAGTGTTTGCGTAAATATTCATCAAATAATCGTTCTTCTTGACTTGAAGAAAGTATATTAAATTTTCTAAATAAAAAGTTTGTAACATTCACTAGAATTACTTTTAAAACTTTTGTACATTGTCGATTATAAAAACTTTCGTTGTACACGCTCCAACTGTAAACTACATTTATTATATATTGGAATCCATATAACTGATTCATATTCAACCTGTGGATCTTATTAGATTTTTAATTTAAAAATGTGGTGGGATGTTTGAAGGAAGAAAATGTCCGCATGATAAAACCATAAAGCTGAAAGGCTTCATTATTTATGTGCGTTACGTGTTCATCAAATTGTACCTTAGAGTCTAGGTGTAATCATAGATCCCTGATTAAAGGTACAATCAAAACACAGTTTACTTTATAAGTGTATTTAATTATATCACCGACAAAAGAAAGATCATGTGTAATGTCCATGTCACACCTATCTACCGGTATAGTGTTGTTGGGAGCACTAAGCTCGAAGTTGTTGACGAGTATGTTTACTTGGGACAAATAGTCCGATTAAGTAAGTACAACATCGACCGAGAGGTCAATCGACGGATTCAACTCGGCTGGGCAACGTTCGGGAAATTACGACACATCTTCTCGTCAGGTATACCTTAAAAACTGAAAACGATATTGTCCAACCAGTGCGTGTTGCCAGTAATGATTTATGGATTTGAAACGTGGCCCTTCATTGCTGACCGTATGAGGATGCTCAAGGTCGCTCTGCGAGGTATGTAGAAGGCTATGCTCGGGGTTTCTTTGCGTGATAAACTTAGAAATGAGGATATGCGCAGTAGAACAAGAGTGACCGACATAGTCCAACGGATTAGTAAGCTGAAGTGACAATAGGCCGGCCATATAGCTCGAAGAACCGACAACCGATGGGGGGAAAAGATTCTCCAGTGGCAGCCTAATCTGGTAGGCGAAGTGTAGAGTGACCCCCACTAGATGGAGTGACGACCTGGTAAGACATGCAGGAAATTAATGAATGCAGGTGATTCAGGACCGTGCTTTGTGGCATTTCTTGGGGGAGGCCTATGTTCAGCAGTGGACTTGTGATGGGCTGTAATGCTGATGATGATTTCATATGGTGAGTGTAGATCATCGAAGAACCTTTTTACAGGTAACAAGGCATTTCATCATGGTCCTCAGGGATGACAACGCAGATGCGTTGTAATCCCTGACAATGCAGATGCATTTCGATACTTGATCGATGACGGGTATAGATGTCAACAGTGGACTTGTGAAGGCCTATAATGATGGTGATGATGATATTTCTTGATTAAAAATGAGTATGGAGGATGTTTTTGATGCCTGTAGGCATTCTCTCAGTAAAACTATGGAATGAGGAATATAGTGGCATTTAGATAGTTTCCTTGTTTAGGTTGGATGTATATTTTCTATTTATATAAATATATAGTTTCTTTGTTAGTCTCGTATGCGTTTTTATACCATTCATATCTGATAACGATAAATCTTTGGTAAGCTGTTATGTGTAATTTTATATAGAATATGGGTGACAAGCGAGCACACGTCTACCTGATGGTAAATGGATGCTGTGGTCCATAAACATCTACATTAAGAATCCTGGATTAAGAATCAAAATGCAGATGCGTTGTCACTTTTGAATTATTTGGAATAAAATTGGACGTTTCCATGAAAAAGAGTCTCCGGGTCTCTACGCTCACCATACGAAACACAGTAGGATTGAGCTGTTATTTTACGCTGGTATTCTCTAAGAACGTGCTCCTACCCCGGTCAAGCCGACCTATTCATACTACATTTATAACTTAGCTGCAGCGTGGCTCTACCACGTACAAAAAAGTTGTTTTATTAAGCAATAAATATGTTTAAACAAAACTAGTTTTTACTGATCATATTTTATATTTCTGACGTTTCGAGCACTTAACAGCACCCATGGTCACGGGGGGCCAGAGGTGTTCAACATCCCGATGTCATATTGTAACATGATATTATATACATTATTGTAAACTGTTCTTTTTTTAATATATATCGTTAAATTACTGATGCCTCGAATTCTGCCCCTAACGGTTTCGGACACGGTGGTTTATCGTATATGTAGTCAGCAATATCGTTTATATCGTATACAGCCGAATCTTGGATTGAGTTTAAATAATTGATCCTTAAAAGAGATGTAACAAAGGCCTCGTAGTGATATTAAGCTGTTCTTATTTTTTTTAAATAATTTAAAATTAAAAATTTCGTACAACCGACTTCCATACATATTATTAAGGATAACTCAAAAACTATTGGCCTTCGACGAAATTTTAATATCTTACGTCGAAAACGAAATATTTTTTTTAACTTTAGTTTGTTAATAATATTTAAAGTTTAAAAATTGTTGAACAACACGCATTGATCATGAGCTGTATGTAACTGATCGTAGTGGGAATACTGGGTCATAGTCACGAAATCATAGTGTTGTCAACACATAGGTTCATACAGGTCAAGCTATTTATTATATTATTGTATCGTCATCGATCCTTGATACGAGTGCAAATTTTTAAGTCAATCGACCGTCTACAAGTTGTTGAAAATTACGTTAAAATATTCCTATACATATGTAGATACACGCGAAGCTAATACGAGTAAAGCGTGTTAACATAAGTTAGTATTAATTTTATCTGCAACAAGTGGTAGAGCCATGCTGCAGCTATATTAGTAGTATAGTTGTAGCACGAATGGGTCGGCTCGACTGGGGAAGGACCACGCTCTCACAGAATACCAGCGTATAATGGCAGCTTGACACTGCTGTGTTTCGTATGGCGAGTGTAGAAAACAGGAGACCCATTTTACTGGAAAAGAAACATTCCATCTTAGTCCTCACGGCTATGGTTCACAGCAACCACTTACCATCAGGTGGACTGTGTGATTGTTTGTCACCCTATCTTATATAAAAAATATATACATAGATACCTATAATATAACTAATCAGCTAATAAGCCAAGGTATCAACGGTATCATCACATTTGAAAATTGCAATAAAAATAAAGAATCTGTTTTAAATACACATATAAAAGTTAAAGGTTGTGTAAGTTAATGCTTAAGTGTAGACATTAAATGAAACTAATTATATTATCATATATAATTATGATTTAATCGCGTTTAATTTAACTTTTAAATTCCTGACGTTTTGGGTTCTAAAAAGTTAAACGCGATAAAATACTTAAAACTAGTTTTACTTAATGTGTAGTGTTCGCGTAAATATAAGAAACCATTATTGTGTAGGCATTAGTTAGCACTGTTTTTAAAATGAATAATAAGCTTTTCTTTTTCATATTTGGGTGAATATTTGAAGATAGACATATTCAGGGTTCGTTAGTTAAGTTCAAATAATGCTTCCAATTATCTTTTTTATGGATTTCACCTAAAGTTTATAGTGCAGATTAACGAAATAAATCAAACGCACAGTATTTGAACTGCTATATAGGCCTGAATTTGAAGCTGAAAATTTTCACCAAACGGTGATGAGATATGAAACAAACGGTAATTAGTATTTTAAAAATGGTAATTATGCTACGTGATTGGTAATTATAAATAAAATGAATGATGTACTGAAATCACACATTTATTTATTACATCACTTAATTTGAAAAAAAATTGTCGAAAATCCACCGGTTTTCTTAATTATTTAATTAAGTCAGTAAATATTAATTTGTCTAGTAAATTAAATAAAACCAACTAAAACATTAGTTTAGAACTCAGTGTAAATAGAATTCAGAGTTATACAAGCTCCATCTAAGATATTTTTTAAATTCGATGAAATCTTATACAAAAATTTAAAAACAGATTTATACTTAAATCCAAATTAGTTTCTGTTTCATAACCAGAAACCGAGCAAGTACTTAATCATAAAGTCTTAAGTAGATCTACAAGATAACCACGGCAATAATAAACAGGAAAATACAAAACATTTGATGTTTCTATCAAACTTTGGTAAACATCAACCTAGACTTAATTTTAAAAATTAAGGAAAATAAAAACAAAATAAACAGTAATTATCTTTCTAGTAATCTTAATAAAATCAACTAAAACACTACTTCAAAACTCTTTGTCAATAGAACTCAGCACTATACCGGTTTCATCTAAAATATTTCTTAAATGCGATGAGATCAGTTACAATAACTATAAAATATTCAAAATTGAATTCGAATCCGTATCACTTTCATAACCAAGAACTTCGCAGGTAGTCTCAAATACAGTCTCTTGTGGATCTGCTAGATCATCACACAGCAATGATCCGAGAACATTAAGCTGGCCATCAATTATTTAATTGTAATGTATATTGAACATAGTCTTGAAATATATCCAAAAAATTCATAGCACTGCCACTGCCAGAAATATTTACCACATTCTCAATGTGTATATTAGGGTCCAAGTGTAATTCATCATCAGGTTTTAACTCCTTTGCATTTTGACTTTTGTAAAACATTACTTAAGATTTTAATATTCCTTTTATTCTGTGTAGTTTTAGGTTTTACTTTTGTGGTCGCATCAGTCATACTATGATTTTCATTCTCTTTATTTCTGATAAGTGTAGATTCTTTTGTGTTTTCATAACATTATTTACCGACAAATTTAGTATGTTCACAGTCCACGTCTAAACATATAAGTAACTATTTTCTCTGAATATCAGGTGGTCCTTTTCTTTCTGCCACAGTATTTGATTAACTTTCAATGTACTTTTAATGGTTTCAGCTATTCTGAAGATATCAAACCATCTTTTTCTATTGTATGGTATTCTTTCACAGCTGTCAGCTTAATTTTTTGTGTGTTTTGTCTTACGATTTTCAAAAACCATCTAATTTAGCAACATTTCTACGTTACGCTGCAGCGACAGTGCTTTTAACAACTCCTTCTATTTCACCTGTGTCATTTTTTCAACTAACAAAAGTTTTTTTTATATCGTTGTCGTTCTTTTTATTCTTAAATGGCGTATAAAATAGGGTCTGCTTTGATTTTAGCGTATCGATTCTGGCGTGTGATTTTGGATTTAACCAAAGTTCCTCCTTCGACTTACTCTAAAAAAAAATAAGTTAGTAATGGGGGGGTAGTTGGTAGTCAGTCTGTAGGTTTATTTTGTTGCGGAAGTGGTGTCAGATCACATTAAACGAGCAATAATTGATCACGCTTTGGTTGTAACACAATGCGACCTAAGGCTGGCCTAGCGGAGTTAGGAGTTTCAATATAATAAGAGGCCAGCTTATACTGGTACTAATTACCATTTTCGATTTCTCATTACCGTTCCGCCAAAATACGAACGGGAAAAATGGTAATTGTACAAACGGTAATTAGATATTTGTAAACTTTCTCACACTGTACGTTCTTTATAGAACTTATTAACTCGGGAACTTAATCAAAGCAAAGAGTATCCTGTGGCGACTATAACTGTGCATAAAAATGATAAATAAGAATAATAGGCTTACCACGGGAAACTCGAACGGTAAGGAGATTTTTGTTTGCCAAACACGATTTCTGGGCGATTAAGGCAGGCTATAATTGGCGCCAAATGACTCTTCGTCGTATGATCCACACTAGTCATGAGGCAAAACTGATCGCGACCGCTGAGTTACCCTTTCAGAGCCCAATACATACGTGGAAATAAAATAACCCTGCGACTGTGTGGACAAATGGTAGTGAGTATAAAGTGTTGGGACAATTTTCAAAGTCGTTACAAATTACTTAAAAGTGGTCTTTAATGTGTGTAGTTTTGCTAATTAGTAAAGCATGTAGTGTACTATCTAAATTACTACAAAAATATACGATCTTCGGGGTTTATTTACAACTTTTCGAGCATGAACTGCTAAAATTTGGAAATTGGGACACGAATGGTGATGAGATTTGAGGAACGTTTATGAATATAACTTAGTTGTTTATTACAATAGGAAAATGTTATGTACATCTTTATGTACTACTGGAACCATGTTTTACGTGAAACAAAAAAGAATATAACTTTATATCTCACTAATTAGTTATTTGGGGAGGGCCACGTAATATGCACATGTTCAAAGAATCACCCATTTATACATCGTCACTCGATTCTGTGCTATGTTCAAAATTTCCAGTGTCTAGCTCATCGGGAAGTACTCGAAATTATAGTTGCAAGATCCCACCCGGAACAACAGTCAAACAAGAAGGTGACTTCATAAAAACGTGGTAAAATGATGTAAAATTAAAAATTTTGTACAACCGATTTCAATATAAATTATTAAGGATAACTCAAAAACTATTGGTCAGACCTTGATCAAATTTGTGTGAAGTAACAGCTTTCAAATTTCAAAACAAATAAAAAAGAATCATCGAAATCGGTTCAACCAGTAAAAAGCTATGAGGTAACACACATAAAAAAACATACAGTCGAATTCAGTACCGTCTCATTTTTGAAGTGGGTAGAAAAAACGATGCAATTCTAAGAATTATTCGAAAATATTGAGCGTGTGTAAGTTGATTAATTTGTTAAAATTGAAAGATTAAATAAAAACACACACCAGTCATATTCAGCGCGTCTTCGAATGGAACTTTTTCAAATTTTGATGCACCCATTTTTAATATAAATCAACACTTAACACTATAAAAAACTTCTCAATTGAACCGTTCAACGAAATATTTGCCAACAATTCTTTAATTGTCGAGCGGATCTTCATATTAGCGAACGCATATCGAAGCACTACTAAATAAACAGAGAGAGTATTTAAAATTTCTTATATATTATTCTGCTAATATTAAAGTCGGAGTTGCCAGCTTATAGAAAATATCTATACAAAATTGGAAAATATTATTTAAAAAAGATTTGAGTTGCAGAAGTTTTTCCAAATCACTTTAAAAGTGTAATAACACTTTAATCATTTTTATTTTGTTATTCATATTAAATAAAAAAAAATTTATTCCATTCTATAGAAATATGTATAAAAAAATAAACATAACGCAATATGATTTAGGCAATATTTTTACAACTTTAATGACACTTAATTATATTTTTATATATTGATGATATTTAATTGTATGAACATGAACAATATATATATAATACGCATAACTCAAAAACTACTGGTCAGATCTTGATCAAAGGACATTTCTCTGCGCCCATACATTGTTCGCCCTGGAACCAAGAGCATCGGAAAATTATGTATTTTATTGTTGATCATTAGTAAATTCCTATTTGACCTTTTTTTTATAGCGGACTAGCTGCAAAATAGATATATATCAAAAAAAGTATCAGATTTTGAGGTTATAATCGAAACATGAATATTACGGTTTTTCATAGATCTGAGTGATTTTCAACAAACTGAAAACCAATGTCCTAAAACATTTAGCTATTTTTAGTACCTATCTACACAATGAGGTATGCAGTTTTTGTTCTAAAGCCTAAGTTTATGTAAGTGCAACGTATAAATGCATAGAATCTAGTTAACAAACCTGCTTTCTGAGCATTCGTTTTGAAATGAGAGATATTTGTGTGTATTAATGTAAAAATAAAAATGTATGTTTATAATGGCTGTTAGCATTTAGGCCGGCCACATACATACGGAATTCCGTTTCGAGATTCCGTTTCGATATTCCGATTCGGAATCCCGAACGCAGCAAGTCCATATAAAATCTATGACCCGCCACACACGTACGGTAGTTTTCCGTTCGATATTTTGCGGGCAAAACGGGATTCCGTTTGTGTGTGGCCGACCGTTCGAAATTCCGAAACGGAATCTCGAAACGGAATTCCGTATGTATAGAGCGGGCCTTAGATACTGTCATTAGCATACACGGTACGGTAAGATACCTAGTAACTAAATATATAAGGATTTAGGCTGTCAGTTACGCCGCTAGACATGCCGTCGAACAGCGAGCGTATCAACCAAGTTTCAACAGAGCGCGTAAACAGCGTGAATATTATTGACTACTATCTAGTGCATTTGCAAGCGTGTGCGTCTGAACGGCGCTGTTCAAACGCGTGACTATGAAACCAGCCTTACTGACTTAGTATCTAATTGGTAGTATAAGTTGATTTTACACCTTCATTATCTTATTATGTTTGAATTAGAAATAAAACACAGATTAATTTCATGTTTATTGTTCATCTTCTAAATTGGAAATTAGAATATTGTTTAAAAACTTTAAAGGGGTGTCGATATTATTTTGATGTGTCTTAAAGCTCAAGTACCAAATAATGGTCATAAAATGGGCGCAGCAACCGATGGTTCTGCGTACAACGATGAAATTACAGCAATATTGCACGATTGCTTCTCTGTTCATCATTCAACAATATTGTACCACCAGCAGAGCCGCAATTTACACAAAATACACTTTCCATTGCGTATGCGTAAGTCCGTTTATGAATGCTAGGATATCGTTTGAGTAGTTCTTGAAAGCTATCATAGTTCGTTAAAATAGCCAAGTTGTAATGTTCAATATAAAGTCCCGAAAGTCACCACAACACCGATACAATCACAAAGACAATTACAATTGCAAACGACGTCAACCAATGTAATTTTGACAGAATGAGTTCAGAACAGTTCCATCACACACAGTTGTAGCCCTTTATTACAAGTATGTAAGACTTTAAAGGAGTAGTCATTGACTTTAAAGGAGAGGTTTAGCAAAATGTGATTTATCGGAATTACAATTCCTGTACGCGGCCTAACGCTCTTTATAACGTGTTTTGAAGTTGCGACCAGTCTGACCCGCGTAAACGGCTTGGCATTCGTCACAAACAAGGTTATAAACTCCAGACTTTAGACGAATATCTAACTTATCTTTCTATTACAGATATTAAGTGAATTGTTTGTTTTGAACGCCACGTAAACGCCACTCTGTCGAAGAGTATTAGATATTTTTTCAGATATGGAACCTAAGTAAGTCAAACTGCCAACATATCTACGACCACTTTGAGGTTTAACCGCGTACAGAGAATTGCGTATGACAAGCTTTTGTTTCTTTTTGATGCATTGTCAATGATATTATTTGAATAACCGTTAGAGACCATAATTTTATCTGCGGGATATCTTTAATTCTGCAGGAGAAATCTGGATTCAATCCAACTAACAGCCTTAAAAATTGTTTAGATCTCATCCCCAAGATTAAAGATATTCATATTCCTCCTACATCCATGTTGTTATCTTTAGACGTCAGTGTTTTCACAAATATCCTATCCCCAGACTGTTTGCGTATACTAGCATATCTCTTTATTAAATGTCGTCTACATCCCGGGGAAACAAGTGATCTTCTAAACTTAACCTCTCTCTGTATGAAACAAAACTATTTCCGGTTCAATAACTACTTTTATCTACAAAAAGAAGGGCTAGCCATGGGTTCCCCTCTAAGTCCTCTTATGGCGAACATTTTTATGGATACTTTTGAAAAACAACACATAGTTGTCAATCAAAATATCTTGTACTATTATCGATATGTAGACGACATAATTATTTGCTAGACTGGCACAAAGAGGCAACTGGATGATTTCCTTAATAAAATTAATAAAATCCACGACAAAATTAAATTTAAGCTTGAATTGGAACGAGATTGTGTCCTAAATTTCCTCGACTTAACAATAACAAGAAAAGAGTCGTTACATGAATTTCAAATTTATCGAAAGCCAACTCATACCGACACGGTCATTCCCGCGTCATCATATCATCCGTGGCAACATAAATTAGTTGCTTTTTATTGTCATATTAATCGTTTGTTTACTGTGCCATTAAGTAAAAAAATATATTTAAAAGAGCTTAATGTGATTTATCAAATTACAGCCTCTAACGGTTATTCAAAGAATATCATTGACAATGTAATCAAAAAGAAACAAAAGCTTGTCGTACGCAATTCTCTGTACGCGGTTAAACCTCAAAGTGATCGTCGATATGTTAGAAGTTTGACCTACTTAGGTTCCACAACTTAAAAATAGCTAACTCTTCGACAGAGTGGCGTTCAAAACAAACAATTCACTTAGGAATATTTGTAATAATAAAGATAAGTTATATATTCGTCTAAAGTCTGGTGTTTATAAACTTGTTTGTGATGAATGCCAAGCCGTTTACGTGGGTTAGACTGGTCGCAACTTCGAAACACTTTATAAAGAGCGTTTGGCCGCATACAGGAATTGTAATTCCGATAAATCACATTATGCTAAACATCTCTTGGAAAGTGGACACTAGCCAATGACCACTCCTTTAAAGTTTTAAATACTTATAATAAAAGGCTACGACTGTGTATGCTGGAAAAGTTAGAGATATTAAAAAATATTAGCGGTAACGTTGCACTGCTGAATGAACAAACAAATGTTTCCAACTCGCCTCTTTTAAACATGTTTAAGCCTACTCCTTGATGATATACAGCCTATCAAAATGGTCGTTTGTCACCCTCACGGTGCAGTGGCCAGCGATTGGTTGCGTGGTTGGAGGCCAGGCGTACGTTTCGCAGTAGCCTGTTGTTAATTTCACAGCAGATATCTGCGTACGCCAGATGGTGATTGATCGCATGACGTAGACGCTCTCTACGTAATTGGAGCGCGGTTGCGTCAGCAAGTAGTATAAATAGCAGTAGTTTCGGCTCGTTGCTCTCTTAGCGGCCAGACTCCGCAGAGTCTATTTCACCTGAGGATGCCTCGTGTAGAGGCGAAACACGTGTCGTATTTTCGAGAGTGTTGTGTCGTGCCTAGTGTGGTGGTGCTGGGGATGGTAGTGCTGGGATTGACAGCGACGGGTATAGTGCGCGCAATTGATGGAGGGCGGGAGGTCCCCTTAAAACTGTACAGGACACATCATTTTCTTTCTTTACGCGGAAATAAGCAAATTAGTTTATAAAAACCCCATTGTAATGGGTTTCCGCAAAATGACGCCTGAGTCTATTAATTATAATAACAATATTTTTTTATGTTTGCTACCTCATAACTTTATCTGGGTTAACAATTTCAATTTTATTTGAAAGCTGGTGCTTTACATGTAGCCCCATATAAATTTGATCAAGGTGTGATCGATAGTTTTTGAAAGATTCTTACTAATTTATATTGAGGTCGGTTGTACAAAATTTTAAATTTTAAATTATACTTTACTCTTTTTACACAATGCAGTTTTGGGGAAAAAAGTATAAAAATCTATAGTAAAAGAAAACACTTACATATTTATGATATTCTTGCACATGTTATTACAATTTTCTTATTAGATTTTTAGTAAAAATAGCATATAATCGACCAACCATATAATAGTATCTGGTTTTAAAAATATCGGTGTCAAACGGGCACACAGTCCACCTCCTTGTAAGTGGATGCCGTGATTCATGGACATCTAATGAAGTCATCTAAAAATGAAAATGCAGAAGTGTTGTCACCCTGAGGGCTAAGATCGTTCTCTACACTCACCATACGACACACAACACCATTAAGCTGCTATAGTATTCTTAAGATATATAGGTAATACGAGTGTACATCTAGTAGATATTTTTTTATAGGATAAGGGTGACAAGCGAGCACACAGTCCACCTGATGGTAAGTGGCTGCTGTGACCCATAGACATCTACATCTATCCTCGTATGCGAATTAGAATGTAGATGCGTTGTCA